GGGGGGGTGTATGCAGAGTTTTTGGGGGGGGCAGAATGAGCAATGGGTGGCCCAGGGCTTTGGGGAAGGGTCAGCCCTTTCTCCACGTGGCCAAAACCATGGGGCAGGCTGGCCTTTGGAAGCCACCCTTGGGATGCAGGCACGAGTTTGATGCTGTGGAGATGGCTGTGGGTGCAGGAGAGGGCTGTGGGTTTGGCTGATCTGTGCTGCTTGTCCCTGCCAGACATGCTGCTCCACCGCTACGTCGTGTCCCGGCTCATCTGGGCCTACATGCTGTCCATTGCCATGACCTATTTCATCACCCTGTGCCTCTTCCCCGGGCTGGAGTCGGAGATCCACAACTGCACGCTGGGGGAATGGCTCCCCATCCTCATCATGGCCATCTTCAACCTCTCCGACTTCGTCGGCAAGGTAGGAGTGAGGCCAACGCCAACGCTGTGGGGGCCTGCCTCCTTTTTGTGTCCTCTTTCAAAGCCACTTGGCTCCAACAAGGGTCATCTCCACCCCATGGGTATCTAACCAGCATGAGGTTGCTCAGCAGTATGTTCCAGGTCGGGCTCCTGCAGCAGTTGGTGTGTCCCCCATCTCATCTCCTTGCTGCCCCATTTTTGGCCCCACGTTGCTCTCCCCAGCCTCCACACCTCCCACCCCCAGCATCATCTCTGCCCCTCGCTGCAGATCCTGGCTGCCCTGCCCTACGACTGGAGAGGGACTCACCTCCTCGTCTACTCCTGCCTCCGTGTCGTCTTCATCCCCCTCTTCATCATGTGTGTCTACCCCAATGGGCAGCCCACCTTCGGCCACCCCGCCTGGCCCTGCATCTTCTCCCTCCTCATGGGCATCACCAACGGCTACTTCGGCAGCGTCCCCATGATCCTGGCCGCCGGCAAAGTGAGCCCCGAGCAGCGGGAGCTGGCAGGTAGGACCAACCCCCCTGGGGACCCAGGCAGGGTGGTGGCCAGAGCACCCTGACACCCTGTGTCCCTTCCCACAGGGAACACCATGACTGTGTCCTACATGACGGGCTTGACGCTGGGCTCGGCCGTGGCCTATTTTGCCTACAGCCTCACCAGTACATCCCACAGTACCTGTTTCTACACCGAGATCTCCAACGGCTCCTTCACACTGGGGTACTGAGCCCCAGGGTGGGGCGACGGGGGCAAGGTGGGACTTGCTTCCCACCACGGTCCTCACCGCCCCACTGTGGCCCACGTCCCTCCTCGGGGAGGGTGCCCTCAGCCAGGGAGCTGCCCCAGGGCAGACAGGGACCAGCATCACGCTGGCATGGGGCTGTGGCATCCCAAAATGGCCGGTGCTGCCCAGGGCCACTGCTTGGGGTGATGTTCTCCCCACCCTGGGGGGACAGTCCTGTTGCTCTTGGGGTGCTCCCCATCAGTGATGTGCAGCCCTACAGTGGAGAGAGAGGTCTTCTTGGTTGAACCAAGCCGTTCCCAGGAGGAAGAAAATACTGCCAAATCCCAAAGGAATTAGGACCGGTGCTGGGGAGGAGGGTGACGGAGAGATGGTGAGGAAGAGCAAGAGAGGAAGGAAACACTCCTTCAGTCCCTGGTGGGAAGGTGGGTCTCAGCTTTCATTGATGGAGCTGCAGGTTTTCAACAAGAATGGCTCAAAATCATGATTCCTCCCCCAAATACACCAATTGCTGTGTAGGAAAAAACAAAGGTTTTTTTTTTTTTTTTGGATTGTGTCTTCATTTTGCCCCCCTCATAACTGTAAGAGAGGCTGGGTCTGGTCCCAAGGTCACAGCACTGCAGATGCCACCCACAGGCCACAGCTGAGCTCTGGGATTTATTGCAAGGGCCATCAATGAAGCCAACACCAGATGAAATGTCTTTGCAACAATGCCTGGTCATTAGCTGTGCCACTGGCATCGCCCCAGCACCGCAGGCACTTGGCTGCTGGTGATGGGCTGGGTCTTGTGGGGTCTTGGGGTGCCCTTTGTGCTGCTCCCTGTTCTCCAGGGTCCTCTCCCTCACCTGGATTTGTCACCGGGTCCCATTGAAGCCCTGCCAGCCTGCAAAGTGCAGCACCTTGGCGGGCAGCAAGCGGAGCAGGGAGTGGGGTGAGCAGAGCAGAAACCCCCTGGAGAAGCACCCGAGGCTCTCTCCACACCAAGCCCCTGCTTGGTTGGAGTGCAGCTCACACCAAAAAGAGCAAATCCAGCGTTTCATCCTCATTACATCACCCTGGTGAGGCTCGGGGAGTTGGCAGGAGCACGTTCCCACACCTCCTGCCCCACGGGCCCCACGAGCAGAGCCCTCGGCTCTTGGGTCCCCGCCCAGCCATCGGTCCCACCCCACCCATCAGTGCCACCCACAGGGGGGCTGCCAGGGGGTTATCCCCAAAAAGCCACCGTTGCCACCAAGGGGAGAAAACCCCCCATGAGTCAGGACAGGCAAAACAAAGACAGATGCTTCCTTGGGTCGCTTTTTTTTTTTTCAATTAATTTTTTTTTGTTTTTTTATGAAAAAAGATCACACGGAGTTCTCCAACAAACAGAATGCCAAAAAAATTGCTTTAAACAAAACATAAACAAAACAAAACGAAACAAAAAGACAAAAACCTGGCTCTCCTTTCCTCTCGATTGTCTGAAATATCCTTGTGTTCCATAGAAGGCAGTGGGTTTTAAGTGCTTTCTATTTAACATTAGCATAAAATCTCTCTCGCGCGCTCGCTCTCTCGCTCCTTAAAATATGCTCACACAATTTTGCTTCTAGAAGTACAGTACACTTTGAGCGTGGGGGGGGGTGTGCCTGTTCCCAGATCATTTACAATCACAATCCAACAGGAAATAAAAAATAATATTCTAAACGTCAGACTGTGTTCATTTCTGTCAGGTTTGGGGTTTGTT